TTTTTTTTTTTTTTTTTTAAGTTCCCCGAGCTGGCTTTGAGAAGCAGAAATCAACTACATCTAATGTGCTCCGTACTCTATGTCCCAAGCTCATACTGGTAACAAACACGCCCTGGACTTGAGGTTCCAGGCTTGTGTGGAGCCCTCCACACGCTCACACACACACACAAATACACAACATATGCATGCATACATACACACACACACACACACACACACAGCAACCCCTGTGAGCTGGGCCCTATCATCACACTTCTGACAGGTGACAACGCTGAGACTCTGGGAGGTGAAGTAATTCACCAGTGCCACGAGGCAGTAAGCCACCGGAGGTGATACACACGGAAAGTGACAGAATATAGAAATATCCCCCCAGTCTTTTATGTTCACCTAATCAATTATTAATCCAATAGGGAAGGGATGTTTCATTCCAAAATTAAAATTAAAAACCATTTTTCTTTGAAAGGGGCTTTTTTTGTTTGTTTGTTTTGAATCAGAACAATGTCTACCACTTTTTTTTGGAGTAATTGCAACCATCTTCAAATTGACCACAATTTGGGGGTTAAAAAGATGTAAGCAGTAATATCAACTGACCGTGAAGGGATTAATCTAATGACACAAAATGGAAACTTAAAAGAAAAAATGCACCATACACGAAAAACCTTCAGGGCTCTGGCCACCGCGGGCTCTGGCCACCGCGGCACCTTTCACTCTGTGCTCCCGGCGCTCATCCCGTGTGGAAGGACCTGCCCGCTGGCTCTGAGGCCTCCTGCACAGCCCCCCTTTCCCTCTGGACTTGAGCTTCCCCAGCTACCCGTGGGCAGGGCCAGGTTGGAAAATAGAAACTCCCTGTTGGGAGACCAGCACACTCGCCTCTGACTTTTCTCTGGTGCCCTCATCCTGCATAATAGATTCACTAAACATTCGACGGATGCTAGGAGTGCATTATCTTCTTCCCCAGAACACAGAGGGGGGACTCCCGCGTGCTCATCAGCAATCAGCACACCAGGTACAAACCAGTCACAGCGCTGGCCACCCGCGCTGGAACGAGGGCCTCGTCCTCACTCGGCCAACTTTCTGAGGTGTGGAGATCCTGGTCTGTGTCCCCCTAAGGAAGATGCCTCTCCTGCCAATGAGCCAATTTTTTTTTTTTTTTTAACCCCTGAGAACAAGCTCTAAGCAACCTTCACTTTTATGTCCAATCTCTCAAAGAGTTTCCTCGACGGTAAGTGTGAATTGATTCCCTCCGTTGCTGAACGATCCGTCCAGTAGTGTAGTCACAAGAGGGGACCGATGTTGGAAAACCGTGGGGGCCCCTCTGCACTGTGACCCCAAACAGACAATTCAATATCCCCTGTGGACCCCAGGCCCCGCACTCACTAGAGTCCCCACACGCGTGTACCCTCCCCCTCCACGAACCCCGGAGGACTTGGCTATAGCTACGCCCCCACCCCCGTTCTGGCCTCACGTGGCTTCACTATTTACACGGGATTCTGGCCGGCTGGCGGCATCAGTGAACCTATCTCCCCTATCAGTTCTCGCCTCAGGGTTCCCAAAGGGACCCCACACAGATGTCGTGGACGGTCCTGGGATAGAAAGAGCCGAGAGAAGGGGGCGGGAGCCGCAGGGGGCGTCACCCTTCCCGGCTTCCTGGAAATTCCTGTTGCAGCGAGACTCTCCTCATTGCAGCAAGAGTAGCCTGAGTGAGCACTAGCCTGGACCAGCTGGCAGAGGCCAGGAGCAAGCAGCACAGAAACCTTCTGTCCCCTTCCGGGTGTTTCTGGGCCCCTCTTCTCCACGGAAGACAGGGTCTAAAACTGTGCTTTGGAAAGAAATGCTCCAAATGGCATTTATGAACCACACTGCTTCTCCCCCAAGCCTCTTCCAGTGACTGAGATTAGGAGATAAAATGGTGTGTGTTTCAGAGGGGGAGGGCTCTTCAAGCTGTGTGAGCTGGTCTCCCATTTCCATGTCAGGGGAGGGGCCGTACCCTCAGTGGCCAGAGGGGAACGCACCCCCTCGGCGGGCCCCCGCCCCCACAGCTGACAGGAGCCTGGGACTCGGAACATCCAGGAATCCGGGTCTCTGCTGCTCTTCATAGTCCCGACCATGGGACAGATTATGTTTACTGAATTGTCTGCCGCCTCGGAAGGATGACCTTGACCTTCTGTTTTAGATTTTCCAAGGAAAACGGTCACCAAGGGAAGGGCAGTAAGAACACGGGGCAGAGGATGACAGCTCACTACGGGAACGGTACGAAGGGTGGCTCGAGGGACAGATGTGAAGGGCGCCGGCCAGGGGAAAACAGGAGTCAAGGACAAGGATGAGAGCTCGGGAAACCCCACAGTGAGACCCTCCAGGAAGGCCTGCTCTGAAGTGGCCTTAGAGAAGGAAAGTAATTAGAGGAAGGCAGTCCTGGATCCTGTCTTTACTCAACACAGAGCAGAGCGGATCCCCGATGCCACATGGAAGGCGGTAACCAGGCCCGAATCTCTACAATGTGCACCTGTGCTTGGATAGGACGGGAAGATCCGCGTTTAAGGGAGGGGGTGAGGGCAAGCAGTGGATCTAAAATTTAAAGCCCTTAGGTGGGTCTGCCCCTAAAGCCCCCTTTCTTCCCGCTGGGCTATCGTGTTTTCTCCTCAAATATTTATTCTGAAAACAGAGGGTTAATGATTTGTTTCCCAAAATGACTCACAAGAGCACACCCCCTCAAGCAGCAAGCTAGGCGGTACACTTGACACGGGTCTGCCCTTGAAAGTTCCAATCACGCATCATTTTTCAGGAATATTATGAAAGTCTGGGGCATGCCTCCCAGAAAGCAGCTTTCCTTCCAGACCTGATCCTTTGTCCTGCACGGAAGAACGTGGGCAGTCCGCTCTCGCCTGACGGGAGGGTGCAGGAGACTGGGGCGAGAGCCCGCGGCCCGAGAACCGTCGTGGGCCAGCCTGGGAGAAGCTCCCGGAAAGCAATTCCCACGTCTGTCCAATGGTCTCTAAAACCCTCCTTGCTTTTCGTTTCTTACAAACGCTTGGACAGGGACCGGGGGAACCAGGGGCCTCGAAAACAGACTGGGAAAATGCTGCCCGAGGCCCTCTGAACACGGCCTTTCAAACGTGTACTTACAAGAAAAAAAGAGGAGCCCACGAGGAGCACATTTCCAGTGCCCTTTAAAGCGTATTTCAGGAAACAGAGGCGTTTAACAGGCCCTACCGGACTAAATGTCTGTTGGACAAGAAGGATCGGCACATCGCGTCCTCAGAAGTGTGCAGCCTCAGACAGGGCAGCAGGGAAGGGGCCCTCTGAGGACCCCCCGCACCCCCTCCCGCTACGCTCTCGTGCTCAGGGCTCCTGCAAGGACTCGGGGTCACGTGCTAACAGGCATGGGCACGGAGCGTGAGGGCTGGAGCCCCGAATGGGCCACGCAGCCGGCCACGTGCTCTCGCACACCCAAGTGGGTCAGCAGGCGCATCTGGAATTAGCTCGTGCTCTCCTGCGTGCAGACAACCGACCGACGCCCGAGGGCCCCCAGCCCGCCGCGAGGCACGCAGTCTGCTGGGGGCGAAATGCTTACAAACACAGCTTCTGAATATGTCCGAGGGCAGGGAGACCCCTCTCAAAGACACCTGGACGGTCCTGCGGCCTCACCTCTGGAGTGTTCTTCTTGAACTCTCGGCTCTGCTCGATAAGCCGCTTTCTGGACTGCTCGCTTTCATCTTGCCGGTTCGCCAGTACTGTTGCGGTGGCATCGAGTTCCCTCTGTCGAGAGAGACACAAAGGAAGACAAGGTTGTCACTGCTGCTTCGTACCAGAGGGGATCGTATCTGCATTCGACCAGAACCCGGGAGAGCCCTCCCCCCCCCCACCCACCGTGGCTCTGGGGGTTACCAACTCCCGGGCAGAGGAGGGGCTGGGGCCGCAGAGGGGAGTGGACACACTCGGGCAGTTGCCATCACCCCGTGCGCCCGTCCCGGAACACCACGCTCCCCCGGCTCGATGTGCTGTGGGTCCACACGCACCTCACAAATGATTGCTTCGGGGACAGAACACGCAGACACGTTTTTCTTTGCTAAAGCCAGCGTCAGCCCAATGCCCTGATGCCGTCTAACATACTTTATTTTTATTTGGAGAGAGAGAAAGAGAGCGTGAGCTGGGGAGGGGCTAGGAGTGCGAATCCCAAGCAAGTTCCACACTGTCAGCACAGGGCCAGATGCAGGACTCGCACCCATGAACTGCGAGATCACGACCTGAACCGAAATCAAGAGATGGACGCGTAACCCACTGAGCCACCCAGGCGCTCCTGGTTTCTGTTCTTAGCAAGCTTTCCCTCTTGCCGAGTCTCCGTGCCCTGATGACTCTGCTTTACTCTGGGCTTCTCGCTGGGGCGTGCTATTTGTCTGTCTTCAACAGTGTGGGCCTGGGGGCTTGTGTGCTGATAACTGGGTCTGCTTTCATTTAACAGTACATATTGTGGGTTTCAGAGAGGTGAGGTATCATGCCCATAACCTGTGACTAGTTCTCAGGAGGGACCTTTACGGGGCAAATTCCAAGAATAATGATTTGCAGGATGCAGTCAACTTTGGGAATGGGGCACCTGGTAACAACAGCTATTCTCAAGCTACTGTCCTCGCATTGAAACTCTGAGAGCCACCAGGGCCAGGTGCCCTGTAAGAAGAGGACCTCGGCTCACACAACAAAATAACGCTCAGAGCATCAGAGAACCTGTGCCCTGGCCTCGGAAATTCTGGGAGGAGCTGCCAACGGGATCCGTTTCAAACAAGCCTGCAGCAGATGGGCCCAGAGTGGTGTCCCAAGCCGACAGCAGGGGCACAAGGACACGCTGCCGTAGCCACCAAAAGGCCCATTTTCTTGCCCAGCGGCCTCAGTTACTAAAGACACACACTGGCATCTTCTGATTAGGATTCGATGTGGCTGTTGCGCATGGCTTCTCCGTGGTATGCCCCATCCCCTGGGGCCCAGCAGGGCAAGGACCCAATTGAGGACTGAAGAGCGAGGCAAATCAGACACAGAGATCCTTCCACAGACATCCGGGAAGCACGTGAGTCTCCCCCCCCCTCCCC